GCATATGCATTAACTTTACCATTCTGCATTAAAACACATCACAAACCCTTATAAGAAACATCACTAAATATAATATAACCATCTGTACCTGAGGGTAAGGTAAGAATCGATGCAGTCACAAGTCGATTCTTTAACTCTTGAAAGGTTGATTCTCTCTGATCGGTCCAGTCAAATGATATCCCCTTTTGAGTCAATTGGGTCAGTGGTAGGGCAATTTTGGAGAAGTCTTTGACAAACCTTATTCACTAACTACTTTAATAGAGCAGATGACCCCTACCCTGCTCCATTAAAGAAAAACTGTGAGAACCCTTACACGTGTATCGTATCATATTATAGTAATCAAAATGGAAAGATTGAATGATGTGAGATGGGGCCCAAAGCAGTACCCGGTATCATTATCCTAACCCTTTATTGATTTTTGTCTATGTCTAGAGTAATTTTTATTAAAAAGTTTGTCAGAAAATTTGTATATAATTGTAGCCACAAAGTCTTTGTATTTATATTATATAGAAATTTTGTAAAGCCTATGACTAGGTTTGACTAGGCCTTTAGACTTTGTGCAAAGGTTAGACATAAGTGTTAAGTCTTTGATTTTTGTTTGTATCCATCAATTGTATTGTATAAATTGGCATTCATGCCAACGGATGAAGCAATGTAAATTCTCTCCACTCTTCCTTGCAAAAAATTCCCTAACTTCTCAAGCCCTTGTCTAAAAAATTCCAAGTGTTCAAGTCTTTTAGTATCTCAAAGTATGTAACAAAATCTTTGTAAGTGTACGAGCACGAAATAATCATCTCGTATAATCCTGTTGATCAAGTTTGCGCTCCCTCCAAATGTCGTCACTTTGCCACCTGAAAACACAAACGTGAGCTGGCCGGCGGGTGTGTGCCGAATACCTCTCTGATGCCTAAGTCAACAAGTAGACAATAGACAAAAAGCTCTGTGTATTCGAAGGTAAGAATTGTGATACCTGTACATAGGTCTTGCTATGAGCTTTTATAGATTCTGTCTGGCACAATCCTAATAGGATTCCAACTCTCCTATAAGAGTCCTTTTAGGAACCACACACCCTACTCACTTTTAACCAAGTGAGATGGTTTGCACAATTCTAGTAAGACTCTACTCTCCTTAGCAGAGTCCTCTTAGGAGTCTCAAGCTTAAGGATAATGTTTATCCTTAAAACACCCTCATCACTGCAAGCCAAGTGAGATGGCTAAACCCTTCACCTCCTACCTCAGCTCAGTAGCACACTAAACCGAGCTATCTTGGACCTACTCTACGCCGGACAGACTGAAGATACTATTCGACCGAGATATCGTTAAGCCCGATTTGTTACTAACATACCCCTATCTGAGCTACTGACAACACGTTGCTCATCTATTCCAAACCTTAGTCTAACATGGGGTACACCACACGACCGAGCTATTGAAGCTCTTAGCTCGGTCCTGAAGCATGTCCCCTTGAACCGAGGTTACTTCGTTCAACCCAGATGTTAAAACAAATGGGCCTAGCTAGGCCCAACTTTAAGTATGCAAATTACCCTCCCAGTTGGGTGTTTGTAGAATAATATGGACATATACATTTGTGATTAATAGGATGTAATATCATGTGATAACCTATTAGTATACAAAACTTGTTCGGTATTAAGGGTTAATAGATTTTTCATAAATTTTATTACAAAACTTTTACCCTAATTTTCTCAAAGAAACAAAATCTATAATATACATCACTCTTAATTATAAAGATTGTGGTCTTAATTGTAAATTATGAGGTACGTTTACTTATTAGGTTTTGTTGTGGTAAATTTTGTAATAAACTTAGTTATGATCCAAATTGATATTCACTATGTTGGTTTTGAGTTTTTTAAAATAATTTTTTAGTTTTTTTAGTTTTTAGTTTTTCATATTTTAGTCATTTTTCAAAAAAAAAATTAGATGCACATAATATAAATGCATTTAAAAAGTAAAATATATGTGAAAAAATATTCATAAAAAAATCGATAAATACAAAAAATGTATTGAAGTTTTTTTAATTTTTTTGTATTTGTGCATTTTTAAAAAGATTGACAAATTTTGTACTTTTTAAATGTATGTATATTAAATAGATCCAAAAGTAAAAAATACATTTTTCTCCACAAAATATATAATTTATTTTTACTCATCACAAAATCCATGACATAACGAGAAAAATTTGTAAGACTATCTCTAACCTTTAATCAAAATTTTATTTGATATGACTTATTTCAATACATAAACTCAAAATTTAAACTTAAATTTATGACTTTGAAAATTTTAAATAAATATTTTAGTTTTATTTAGTTTGGGTAAAAGTTTAAATAAATTTAATTTAATAAAAATTTGAGTCGAGAAGGAAAAGTGTTTTGGTATAATTTTTACTAAATTTTAAACTTAATATAAAATTGAGTCAAGAATTAAAATGGCTTACTTATACTGCAGAATTTTTTAACTTTCTATCAAATCACACTTTCAACTTTGTAATTTGATCTAATTTTTATTTTAGTCCGTATTATTTCAAATTAAATAGTTTGATTTCTACACTTTAAGTCTAATTTTAATTTGGTCATTTTGTTCAAGTTAGAAGTTGAAATTAATGATTTTAAGACATTTGTCAATCTTGTAATGCTATGTTTGGATTATGCATTTAAAAATAGGATGGGAAATGAAGAAAATGATCCAAACATAGATTAAGGTGTTCACATACAAAAAATTAAAAGAAATATCAAATTGAAGATGGACTTAAAAATGTATAAATCAAATTATTCAAATTGAAACAATAGAAATTTAAAATAAATTTAAGTCAATTTATAGGAGTGAAAAGTGAAAGGTTTTACACTAAAAATATTACTTTACTCCACTCAATTATAAATCCGTACATTTTGATCATTTCAACTATAAAAATATATCACTTTCATTTCTCGCAAACCATCTCCAGGCCACTCTCAAAAAGAGTATATTGATACAATAATAATTAAATAGATTAATATGTTTGAGTTTATAAATAAATATAATTAAAAGGGTGCAAAACGTAATTTACCCTTCTTTTACTCATAAAATCCTACAAATCGGAGACTCCTAAACAAACAAAAAAAAACCACTACAAGAATTAACACTTTTGCCGACCAAAAAATTGGTCGCTAAAAGCCCATTTTTGGTCAGCAAAAGTAATCCGCGACTAATTTTTTTGGTCGCTACTTTGGTCGCCAATTGAGGGTCGGCAAAAGTAATTCGCGACCAAAATTTTGGTTGGTCGCGAATAGTCGGATTTGCTGACTAAATTTTTGGTCGCTAAATATATCATTACTGTGACTAATTCATTTAGTTGCTAAAACACTTTGGTCGCGAAAAGTGATATTTTCCCGACCAAATATCTTAGTCGCTAATTGACACATTTCGCGACCAAAAAGTTTGGTCACCAATTATTACATTCAACGACCAAAAAGTTTGGTCGCCAATTGTGACATTCCACGACCAAAAAATTTGGTCGCCAATAGTCAAGGAATCGCCGACTAACAATTTAGTCGCCAAAAGGTAAGGAATTGCCGACCAATAATTTTAGTCGCAAAAGTGTAGAATTTGCCGACCAATTTTGTAGTCGCCAAATCTCTATTTTTTTTTTTTTTTAGAACATTCAATTTTTGTTTTTAAACATTCAATCCAATATCGAACAAAATTCATTCAACCCAACCACAATTAAGGAACAATAACATGTAAAAAATTAAAAATTGCTCACAGTTTCGGTACCACAATTGAGGAACAAAATTCATGACTCACAACCAAAGAATTTAACTAAGAAGAAACTTGAGAATTTAACTTGTATACAAGAGCAATAGTACGTACAATCTGTGATTTGGCAAAAACAATCACTAAAAATTCAATCTCAAACTACACTTTGCTCTCACCGAAAATTATAAGAACAAAGAAATCAAAGAAAATAACAAGGTATGAGACTATTGGAACAGTTCTTCAGCTCTTCCTGTAGTATGCTCATACCACAATGACATCCTATTGCAATTTCATCCAATCTGGACGGGCATACTTAGGATTCAAGCCCAACAACTTGCAGTCTTCATCACTTATACGCTTCAGGACATTTAAAACCTGTAAAAATGTCATATAATGCTCGCTTTGTAAGTCTTGATCAGCTAGAAATTGACAAGAACAAAACATATACGCACAGAATTTGGGACAAAAAATGCATTCTGTTAGTTACCCAAGCAACACACTTCTTCTCCCAGCACCTTACCACAAAGTAGGCTAAGAGAAATATTTTAGCAGTCAGCGGTTATGATTCTTTTATTCAGTTGCATGAAGATCCTCCTTACAAAATGCTCCACTTCATAGACATAAGAAGAAGAACAAGAAAAAAAAAAGGTGCTGATAGAGGTCTAAGCGCATTCTTGTGACTATTAAGGAAGGGAGGCTGCAACAGATTCAAATAACCAGAAAGCATCTGATCCTTTCAAGTGGGCTCAATGTTTCATAAATCAAAACAAATTGGCTCACAGGAAGTTCACAAATTGACATCAATAAAATTTTAGCTGTCGTCTTTTGGCAATTAAGATTTGATAAAATAAAAAATAATAATAATATTAATATTAATAAAAATTAGCTATCCATTTCTGATTGGGCATTATTACTTCGTAACAAATAGCATTAATCTGGGATTACAATTATGTTCGGAGTTGGATTCCATACCATACCTTTTACTTCTTTCCTACTCTTCTCCGAGTAAATACAAGAGTTGCACAGACAATACCCCTTATTATTAACAGAGTGCAATCATAGAACTAACTATAGGATCCGGAAGAACTTACATAGAAAGGAATATAAGTTTGTCTGCCATTAACAAGCCCACTTGTGTAGCCTGTGTACCCGGCCATAGCTCCATGAACAGCACTCTGAGCAATGAGTGTACAATACACATTGTCAGCTACATTGCTTGGAATAGCCCGGATCATATATGTAGGATTTGTCAAAAAAATTGATCAGGTCCAAATCTTGTTATTTCCCTTCGCAGCACTCTGTTTGATAATTTCTCCAAGTTCAGTTCAAGAAGAAACATAAGACAAACAAGAACGGGAAGTGAGAGGTTACTGACCTATATATTTAAGAGTAAGAACCATCTTATTTCGTTTTGCAAAATGTTCCTACAAAACAGGAAAGAACCAGTAAGCGACAGCACGAACCTGTTATATTATCACTTGGGAATGCTCATCTTATAGAAAACAAAGAGATCACAAAATATCATAAAACTAAATTCATCAATGAATTATCCATTTCCATTAGATAGCGTAAATATTTTACACTTGTGGTCATGAAGAACATCTGCATGTTTACAAACTGAGAACGTAAATTGAGAGGTATAAATTATAGTAAGATGCGAAGTTTAGGAAAAATAAAACAGGGGAATAGTTTTTTCCCCCCTCTTTTTGACTAGATAGATTCTCAGTCAGAGGATTAAAACTAGGAAAATTAAAGATCAACAAGTAGCATCACTAGTCCAGAAGAAGAAACTGGAGTCTAGAAAAAGATAATGCATTAATATACTTCCAAATAGCCTCTGCATAAAAGAAGACAGTTCCAAAAGAATACGTAATGAACTTAAAAAAGTTGCTTAAATTATGCGGCCCAATAATGGTGCCTGTCCATGAACGCATGTAAATGTCATCTCCATCATCCATTCCATAACTCACAGTACCATCTCCAATACCCTTTTCTCCACGTTCAAGTTCCTCAAGCAATCTAAAGTTTCGAGGGACTGAAAAGAAACATAAATATACTATGCTTATGTTAAGGTTTAACTGGTAGTGTACCAAAGACATTTATCATGTTCAATACAACTCAATAAAATATACGTATATATTGCCCTTTCAAGATCACAAATGTAGTGAACTTCAATATTAACTAGTTTTCATTTTGAAATAAGATATTTCCAAATTTCACAAGATACAGGTCTCCTGCGGTAGACTCTCTAAATATCTGGCTCCCCCAATCGTAAATGCATATCCAGTGGCGCTCCCTCCCCTGCATGTGGCCTTCCATTGACTGCCTGTGGAGCCTATGAGTGTAACCCCTCCTCTCCTGCATGTGCTGCCCCTGATCCTGTCTCTGGCAGAAGATCGGATACTACTGTGAGTTGTGAAACTCTCTCATCTGGTGCAACTATATCACGATCTGCAGCTGGACCTCGACCTCAACCTCTGCCTCTGCCCGTACCCCGACCTCAGCTGCGACGTCCGCCACGACCATAACCTCGGCCTCTCCCTCACGCTCTGAGGGGGCTTAATATGGGCCTCATCCTCAACGTGGGAGATGTTAGTGAGTACTGCATCATGTGTACTCATGGTCACGATCAAACTAGTCTCTACAAAAGCAGGAGGTAACTGGGTGGATGGGGTAACAACGTCATGCATGTATCGGGGCGGTGTCCAATCAGGGTCAACATGCTGGTAGGATGTACGTATAGAGAATCTAGAAAAATGTATGGGGTACCATGCGGTGGGGTGACTAAAGTCCAAGGACCTACTGTGGCTGGTGCTGAAGTGGAAGGCACTGAAGTGGATGGGACTGATGTGTCTGGAGTAGTTGCTGCACTGTGTACACCGCAGTGGCCAAAATACAGACGATCTACCCGATGGCCATGCTGGATCCCCTCGTACAACAACTCTCGGATCTCTGCAACGGCCTGCAAGGCATGTTGTCCATCATGTCTGGAAAGGGCGTCCTCAGCCAAGTGATATGACCTTCCAGCTCGAACCACCAGAACAAAAATTCAAACGTATTAGGCTATAGTTGACTGAAAGTAAATCAATTATGATCTTAACAATTATCTGACGCATACTATCATACTCACCAATGTCTTAAGAGAAGGCCTAACTCCCTGATATCTGGACTCAGACAGGTGGCTTGGATTACCGACTAGTAGGTGTGTATGTCGCCGATACCACAACATGTAAGGGCCGGAAGAAGGGAGCACCTCATCGCTCCAGTCAGCCTGTACAATACTGTTGCGACGGGCATCCCAGAGCTGTATATATCGCATATGAAACAGACTCCAGTCAGAGTCGGCTCGGCCACGTCTATTAGTCGCATGCAACCGCCACTCGTTGTCGCACCGTTCCGGCACGGACTGGACCCGACCAAACTGTCAGAGGACACGATCAGGGAGATGCCACTTAACCACGTCAAAACAAATGAGTAGCACTCTCGCCATCCATATCTCCTCACTTAGTCAGCAATAGTCTGGGAGCGTACTGAGGACCCCAGCATAAGGTTGCCAGATAAACTACAATAACGATGAGTATATTAAAAATCCCTCATGAACATATACAATGAACAAGACAACTAAAATTTAGGTATTTAAATTTCATACCTCGCCCTCTATCATCCCGTCAAGTTGGTCTCTATACACAACGACTACGTGGGTCGATACGACCTCGTGGCCCATGTTAACCCTCCACCGGCTACCTCGAGGTCCGGCTGGCAACTGCATGGCTCCCTGGCCGATAGGAAGCTCACCAGGAGCAACCATTTGCCGCCTAGACGGGGCAATGCGAATCAATCTCTCCCACGCCCAAATCTGCAATAGTTTGAACGCAAATACAATACTGATATATGCCATACAATACGAATTGACATGTAATAAAATTCTTACTAACCTGTAGCAAGACAAGGAGTCCTCTGATCTCCTTCGCACCCACCTAAGTTGCTCGACATAGCATCCTATACAAGCATGCCAAAGCCGCGCCACCCCAACTGTACTGGCCGATCGCGTCAATGTCTCTCAACAGTGGCAAGTACATCAGCTTGAGCAAGTTCTGTGACTTATCAGGGAGAAGTACCCCTCCAATAAGCCACAAAATATATGCTCGGGCATGCTGCTGTACTAACTCATCTGGAGCCTGATCTGGAAGAGGACCAAACTGCTCGGCCAGCCACATCACCCTCAGTCTACTGCCTGTAAGTCTGCAGGTGTAACGCCCTCAAAATAATAACATTAAACCCATCAAATAAGACATGCATTGATATGTAAAAGTTCCGCATTCTTCCATTTATCAGAATTCCATTACATAAGTATTACATGTTGACAACAAAAGCAAATGCCCTCTGGGCTTACAGCTTTCCAAGTTAACACTTGGTTACAACAAAGAGTACTAACTCATTACACATTAAGCCCTTGGCTTGAATTTACATGTAATCTCTGTGCGCCACCTCTCGACGAGAGCAGTGATGAGTGGGTGGTCCAGACTAATATGGCCTATACGATAGACACCATAGAATCCGGCGCGTAGTATATACTGCCAGACTCTATGGTCCAATGGATGCTCCTACAGGCCGGAATCTCCCCGCTGGCATGTCAACACGGTGCGTGCCTCGTCTTGCATAACAGAATGACTAGTTTAAATTATAGCTTTATCACGTAATATAAAACAAAATGCAGGGTATTTTCATTGTAAGCGTAAAGTCCAACAAATGTTATTGCATACCGGATCCTCCCATATACTGTCAGCCCGATGTGGATGATTGAAAAGTGGGACCTCATCAGGTGGATGTGCCATGAAGCCTGTACAAGTGAAATACTAGATCATAACAATAAAAGTCTCATTTAATCATAATAGGAAAACTATAATTATTCCATACATTACAATTTGTAAAAGAAAAGCATGCTCAACTATTAACAAATTTATATTTGTGTGACACCATATATGGAAGCAATTCACTAAAATGTAAAAAAAACTCTATTGGTGAGCATGTAATTTAACTATAACAATTAAACTCTAATTATTATATATATGAGGACTTGAAAAACAAATGTGGTCGATTATTTTAAAATTATCAATTTGTGTGCCACTAACATGGAAGCAATCTACTAAAATCTAAAATTATCAATTTATATGCCATTAAATATGATAAACAATTCAACAGAACATACCGTTATCTATGCTATAACTAATATAGAAATCTTTTACAAAATAATTTTAGGGTCTCAGTTACATAAGCTTAATAATAACCAGTAACATGTGGATAGTTTTCCTACATAAATATTTGCAAAAAACTTGAATGAGAAATTTTTTTTCAATAATAGGTTGCTAATTACATTTATGGCATATTTGACAACACTTAAATATTGATTTTGTAATGGTAAAAGTTTTAATAAAGTATAAATTTGTAAATTACGTAGATCTGATTCATAAATTGTAAATGTAAAAAATTGCTTGCAACATTCGAAAATATTAAATTTATTCATAAATAATAAATTTTTAAATGGTAGAAGAACTATGTGATTTTCACTAAAATTTTGTAACAGACATTTTCAATCAAGTAGACAATAAAAAACTTAGGCCTATGTGGTATAGTTAAATGTTTTTGCATACATATTTAGTTTAATTTATTTGTTTAGTTTGTTAGTTGTAAATTTTTTCAAGGAAATCAAACAATTACAATATATAAAGAATTAAAAATTAGAAATGATCTATTACAAATAAAAATGATCTATTTAAATGTACGACCCCGTTTACAAATAAAGAATCTCGAGCGAAGCCACCCTGGCTCGACCCACCAGACACGAACCTCACTCTCGCTCGAGCGACCAACTCCTCGCTCGAGTGAAGGTCCAAAAATCTGGGCAGCAGCACTAGGCTCCCAAACACAACCAACCTGTAACAAACCTGCCCAACACATCCTATAACTCAATATACAAAGTAAAGAGGATGCAAACAGGATAATAAACAACTACCAACATCCACGGACACATGTCTGGATCACTGTACAACAAGGGTAAACCCGGGATCGCTATAGCAGGTGTAGGTGCTACTCCCAATAGCTCAGCACATAAGGCTATCCACTGCTCCCTCGTCAATGATGGGTTAACTCCAGTAACTGCTCGCCCATTAATCCGTAGACCATATAGGACAGATACGTCCTGCAATGTGACGGTGGCCTCCCCAATTGGGAAATGAAATGTATGAGTCTCTGTGCGCCACCTCTCGACGAGAGCAGTGATGAGTGGGTGGTCCAGACTAATATGGCCTATACGATAGACACCATAGAATCCCGCGCGTAGTATATACTGCCAGACTCTATGGTCCAATGGATGCTCCTACAAGCCAGAATCTCCCCGTCGGCATGTCAACACGGTGCGTGCCTCGTCTTGCATAACAGAATGACTAGTTTAAATTATAGCTTTATCACGTAATATAAAACAAAATGCAGGGTATTTTCATTGTAAGCGTAAAGTCCAACAAATGTTATTGCATACCGGATCCTCCCATATACTGTCAGCCCGATGTGGATGATTGAAAAATGGGACCTCATTAGGTGGATGTGCCATGAAGCCTGTACAAGTGAAATACTAGATCATAACAATAAAAGTCTCATTTAATCATAATAGGAAAACTGTAATTATTCCATACATTACGATTTGTAAAAGAAAAGCATGCTCAACTATTAACAAATTTATATTTGTGTGACACCATATATGGAAGCAATTCACTAAAATGTAATTAATTTTTATTTCAAAAAACTCTATTGGTGAGCATGTAATTTAACTATAACAATTAAACTCTAATTATTCCATATATGAGGACTTGAAAAACAAATGTGGTCGATTATTTTAAAATTATCAATTTGTGTGCCACTAACATGGAAGCAATCTACTAAAATCTAAAATTATCAATTTATATGCCATTAAATATGATAAACAATTCAACAGAACATACCGTTATCTATGCTATAACTAATATAGAAATCTTTTACAAAATAATTTTAGGGTCTCAGTTACATAAGCTTAATAATAACCAGTAACATGTGGATAGTTTTCCTACATAAATATTTGCAAAAAACTTGAATGAGAAATTT